TCATACACAACTGTCATAAATACGACATTTTCGTCAAAGCCATTCGGCAAAAAAGTAGTTTCAACATATTTTAGCCGTTAATAATGAAAAATAATAATAATGAGAGTATCCATAATGGAATACCATTGGTCACTAGAAGCCGCCATATTGGATCCACTATTTTAGATTTTGCAATTCCGACTGGATTCATCACTAGCAACCCGAAAAACATAAACATATCGAATATGATCTTCACCATAATGAAATAAAAAAATTAGTCACTTGGAACCGCCATATTGGATCTGCCGTTTCGAATTTTGAAATTTCAACCCTGGGTTTGTCCCGAGCGATCCGAGTACTGTAACTTTCTATAAAGAAAATCTCATATCAAATGAGGATATCAATCTTAATAAATATTCTGCAAAAACTGACAAAATTGAGTATTTAAGCGCCGCCACATTGGATCCGCAATTATGAGTTTCTCCAATTTGATTCCGAACTTGTAGTCAGCGTCCCAAAAAACATGGATGTATTAAGTTTGATACAAATCCGTTGAAAATTGACAGAGCTACTCATGGCGCTCATATATGAGTTATTACCAGTGAACTGGTTAATTTATTATATCCGGCTTCTTGTTCCACCGAAACGTTTGTAATTTTTCGTCACGCGCTCTTTGATCCAGCTTTTCCCCGGCTTTTACGGCTTCCCGTTTGTAACTTTTCAGTTTTCACATTTCTCCTCCGGGCAACAGTTTCAGCTATTTGTGAGGATTGATATCCCGTGACTTTCGCTTCTCCTTAGACATCTTTCAGAGAACCGAGAGGAATTTTATTTACTCTTCTCTCAACACACAGAATGAATGAATCCTTTAATCGAATTAACGCTCCGAGCGTTAAACGGAGATAAATAGTCCGGAATCTCTTCTATTTCTGCCTTTCTGCCAGACCGAGTAACCAACCTGCCACCGTAAGTAATTAGGAAAATTGTGTTTTGTCCTAGATCCGGCAACGTTTACCGCCATATCGCGAAGGCGGGCGCAGTTCCAATGGTTGCGGACGCAGTACCGGAGGATCCGGCTCGAGCCGAGCGGGGTCGACTCGAAGATTCGCAGATTCGTGCTGAGTTTGCCTTCTCAACGTGCCGTTTGCCGGCCGTTAACATCGCCCGCCCCCTTCCCTCGTTCCTCAATGTGCCAAAACGCGACATAACCTGCCAGCGATATTCGCCTAATGCGGGTATGAATTTCCTCACGATCGGTTAAGAATGCGTTAACCCTTCACCGTCGAGAGTCAGAGATGCAGCCGTCGCTATATTCAAATTGCAACCGCAAACGGCTGATCCACTCTGCGTCTCTGCGCGTGATCTCTATCGTTCGTTGAACCCGCGTTCTTGAGTCGTCCGACCAATGTGGTAGTTTTTCCTTCCGCTTGAGATCGTGGCGCGCGGCGGAACGCAGCCGGCCCTGACTCCGAAGCGGCTTGGTGAGAGTCGCAAATGAGGGGAAAAAAAGATGTTATGAATATTTCAGACGACGGGTCTTTATGAAACTGCGTTGCGATCGATGCAATTTACTCGGTGTGTAGATTTTTCAAGTACATACAGGGTGTCCGGACTAGAGGTATCCAAATGCAACGGCTTATACTAAGAGAACCAGTCATCATAATTTCTCATACTGCGGCTCAGTCGATAGGAAATGTCTTCAAGATCTGTTTTGTCACATTGTCAAGGTCATCGATCCGTTTTTTCTTCAGGGAGCTCACAGTGATGGGACACATTTATTTCGACACGCTGGAGAACTTTGTTGCTCCACAGATTCTTCCAAGTTTCACGTTTGAGCAAGATGGCGCTCCACCACGCTTCCACCGAGATGTCCCCATGTTTCTGAACGAGACTTCTCTTGGAAGTTGTCGGAAGGGAAGGCCCAATTGCCTGGGCCTTCCCTAAATCTCTAGATGTAACTCCTTTGGACTTTTCTCTGGACCTTGGAGCTTTATTAAAACCTACGTTTACCAGAGAAAAGTTCAAGATTCGGACGATCCTTTAGATACCTTTCGGTGCCCACATTGAGTTTTACTCATCTCCATAAGAACTCACTGAGTTGCCCCGTTTGATAAAACTAATTTTTTTTGTTAAAGTATATAATTACCGCTTCGCACAGTGCAAGTCGTTACATTTGGACACCCCGTATATGCGTACTCGCGCGCGTGCCGTTGCATGAAGCGCGCTATTGGAAATAATTAAGGGATCACTTTCTCGCGAGCGGCCGTGTCAGTCGTTGAAACGTGACACGATGATTAACAGGAAACAAAGACAGCGAAAATAAAATTCGAGGCACACACACCGGGGTCTCTTCCGGTACTCTGGACGTCACATCGCGCAACATTCGCCCCGATCTGCCGGCGATCGATCGAAACGTATTCGTGCAAACGTGACACCTCGATTGTTTACCCTCACATACTACAAATCGCGCGAATCACGGTATTATTTGAGGCGACTGCTCGCATTTAGCACGACTTCCTGGTCACCCATGCAGCACAGAAAGTTGCAGCAATGTTGCAATATTGCAGCTAAAGTTGTAGCAACATTGCTGCAACTTTTGCGCTGTATTTATGCATTTAGATTGCTGTTTGATGCGCATCACGATTTTCGCGAAGAGGCACTCGGGGGGGGGGGGGGGGTCGCGCAATCACCTCTTAAATTTTTATTATGCATGTATTATACACGTCGCAGGGGAGAGGGCGGAGGATGCACTTTGTGAACACAGATAGAGAACTCGTAAATGAAATTCAATATCGCGCAGATAAGCCGCGTGGGAACCCGCGCGCCTGTCAATCAGCTCGTTGCCGCTCGGTGTGCGACACACAGATCGATTTATGCACTCGACGCAATCGATCCCCGGCTGCCGCGACGGTGCTTTGTTTTTTACACGAACAACAATTTGCGCGAGGCGCGAGTGTGCTCCAAAAGCGGCGGGAGAAATTTATCGTAGCGTGAGCGATTCATCGAGTCGCGATAGACAACTCGTTAAACAACGACAGATTCGAGTTTCGCGGGTTTCCGTCTTCCGTTGATCGAATTCGTACGCTCCGCTTCGGGGTAAATCGAATGTAGCCCGCTCGCTGCCAACGTCAGTCCGTTAAGCGCTCTTGAAGTATGAATATGAATCGCATCGCGAGCGCAGTGAAATCGACGAAGCGAAGTGCGAGGAACGCGGGACGCTGCAGGACGCGGACAACGGACACGCTGCGGACTCCGGACGTTGGCTGAACGACACTGCTGCTGGATCTCGCCGCGAAACGGTGAGTGCGCAAGTTCTCAACGCTCGCGAGACGTCATTGCATTGGTGCACGCGTACGCGTAAGGCGCATTGAAAGAAGTAAGGTTAAGTGCCGGTAAGGAGCGTCTCGAGGTTAGCTCTTTGGCGTTGGGTCAGTGAGCGCGGCAAATTCGCTCGCTCACAATTCGGGTGCCATTGCGAGCACTTCGCGTCAGGATCAGGATCCTCGCAGAACCAACGAACAACTTAGACTTTACATGAAAAACGCAGTATTCGAAGCTCAAAGATGTAACGCTTAGCGATAGTTGTGAGACGCTCTCTCTTCTATCTCTCTCTCTCTCTCTCTCTATATATATATATATATATACACACATGTATGTGCGCAGAGTGCCTGATAATACACAATATAAATCTAGCAAAAATATCTAGATAAAATTTATCTATCATATTTATCTAATAAAAACATTTAATGAAAATAATATACAATATAAATTTTAAATAATAAACAACATAAACCTCTCGTGTACGTGCAGATTAGGTCAAACCGGAGAAAAAATTCCTCTATCATTTTGCGAGCAAATATGTGGAGTGTTATGTAAAACCGCGATTTCTGTCGCGTGATTGTAGGTTAGGTGTAACCTAACGAAAAAAAGTCCCGTACCATTTATGTTCGTTTGCCCCCAAAAATCGATCTGTCCAAATTGATCCTTTCAACAGAGAATCAATTTTCAATCCGTCGATGTATTTATTCACCAACGTTGTTTCGGTTAAATGAAGAATTCAGCTAGGGTCAACGTTTGAAGGGATCAATCTGTACAAAAATGGAACGGGAAAGAATCTACTCGAAAAATCGATTTTTTAAGGAAAAGACCGATTTTCTGAAAATCGAGTCAATCGCTAATACTATTTTGCAAAACTAGATTTTGAGCTGTTAATCGAAAAACATTGGTGCATTATCACACGTGATCATCCGTCAATCTCCCCTAATTAACTAAAAATCTGCATAGTTCTTTGCAAAATGGCACAAAACGTTTTGTTCAGTTCGACTTAATCTACCAGCATATCCTCTTGCTGATATTGCCTCGAATTAATAATTCCAAATTGCGCATGGTTGTTCGCAACACAGTAGAGGAATTTTCTCTTCAATTTCACCAGATCCACGCGTACATACACGAGAGATTTATGTGTATTATCGTCAAACATTTCATATACAGGGTGTTTAAAAAAAAGAGTTCAGGGCAGATGGTGGAGGAAAATGAAAACAAAATGGAGAAAGAAACCCCAATGAACATAGATTAATTACTTTTTCGGACTTTTACTCGGACTTTACTCGAATTTTTTCCTCCAAAAAATCTGGAAAATTAATATTGTCGGAGTTGTGAACAATTATTTATTTCAATTAGCTTTCAACTCAATAAAGCGAGGTGCTCTCTTCATCGATAAATGATATAGACAAATTACGGAGAATAATATCGGAGAACACACAAGCGCCAGAACCGAGTACGTTACTTGCTTTAAGATTCTTAATAATTAATTAAGATTTTAGTGATTAATACTTTTTTCAATAATTAATTTTTAAAAATAATTAAGATAAATAATTGTTCATAACTTCGACAATATTAATTTTCCGATCCATGTTTATTAGGACTTTTCCCCTCCATTTTGTGAGACTACTATTTGCAGTCACGGGTCTCTTTGTTTTTGAACACCCTGCATACGTACTCGCGCGAGGCGCGTTACTTACGTCGCCCTTTTCCGGCACGTATTTAGCCAGCCAACCCCACATAATACCGAATCCCAGGCCGCCGATAATGGCGATGGGCCCCTGCAGGATCTGGTACCAGAGCGCGTCGTGGGAGAACATGACGCTCTTGACGATGCCGTGAACTGCCACCGACGCCGCGTCGTCGATCCCGGCCACCGCGATAATCAGCGTCGGGATGCCCTGGAAAGTGCATCACGGACTCGTTAGTTTCAGCCGTGTGGACGGCTGGGACGACGGCTGGGGCGAAAATTGCTGCATGTCGGATGTCGTTTGCGTTAACGCGACGCAAACATCAAACGGCCCGGTAATCATCGTTGTGCCTCTAAGCAGGGAGGGCGACATCGATTACCGAGCGTGCATAACGCGCGATAACAGCTGTAGTAACGGGCACAATATTCCATGACCATTTAATAACGAATTATGCGGCGCGACAGCCGCAGCGAGTTACAAATTAATTAAACTGTATCAACTATTTATTGACTTGTTGATAATACATACACGCGTTTGAGGTTTAATGTTCCGGCTTTATCGCGCTGCATTATCTCTTTGCGAACTTTTATTAGGGGAGTAATTTAGTTTTGAGGATTTCGCAAGAGATGTCAGTTTTGTCGAAGACGTTCTGATCACAGCTATTGTATCTTAACGCTCTAATATTAATCCGCGATACTTAGTCATTTACTGACAAGACGCAGTATAAAATCGTGTTAGTATTATCTTAAAAATGGAACTTCCTGAAGAGAGAGCATCTTCGACATGCGTTGCTTTTGTTATTTAATCAGAAGGGAACAGCGGCTGAAAGTCATAGAATTTTGATAGAAACTTGTGGTGATGTTGCTCCATCAATTCAAGACATATGAATATTGGTTTAGACGACTCAAATGTAGTGATTTCGATGTTAACGACAAAGATCACTCGAGACAACTGAAAAAGCTTAAAAATGCAGATTTGCAAGCATTATTGAACGAAAATCCAGGATAATCCACTTGAGAACTTGCCAGAGCATTAAATGTTGATTGTACAACAGTCATTGAACGTTTACATGATATGGGAAAGATTCACAAGGAAGGAAAACGGGTTCCACATCATCAGGAAATGCCATTACGAACCGGTTAGACATTCGCATTTCGTTGATCGCCAGACAAAAAATGAAGAGTTTTATCAAACATCGAATTATTATTAGGGATGAAAAATTGGGGATGGATCTATTTCGATAATCCCAAACCAAAGAAGTTATGGGTTGATCCAGGCTAACCAGCAATATCCGCTTCGAGGCGTAATCATGATTCAAAGGTATTGCTGTGTATTTAGTGAGATGAAGAAGGTGTCGTGTACTATGAACTGTTAAATCCGAATGAAATTGTCAGCGCTGATTGTTATAGACAACAATTATACAAATTGAAGCGAGCATTGGACCAAAAGCGATCATCAATTGCGAGCAAACGACGCAAAGTGATTCTTCTTCGCGACAATGCTTGACCTCATGTTGCATCATCAGTGAAGCAAAAGCTATTACAGTTGGAATGGCAAGTTTTACCGCACCCTTCGTAATCTCCAGACATTGCTCCATCTGATTATCACTTGCTCCAGTCGATGCAATATGCTTTGGAAGATAAACACTTTCATAACTTGGAACAAGTGCGGAAATTTGTTGAAAATTGGACCAACTCCTAAGAAGAATCTTTTTATCGTCGTGGAATCCATCTCTTGCCAGAAAGATGGGAAAAAGTTGCAGAAAATGAAGGAAAATATCTTGATTAAGGTATTCGTTCATCATCTTGTTTAAGTAAGTTCAGTTTTTGAGAAAAAAAACTAAATCGCACTCTCAATAGATAATTTCGTGCGCACATGAAGACACATAGGTGACATCGCTCGAGAACACTTGAATAAAGTGAGAAGACGAAAAAGGATCGTCGAGTGTAATCATCTCGATGCAAGATTACGTTCGAACCTGCGATTCTGTCAATGAGGGGTCTCTTTCTCCTCTTTTTCTTTCCTACATTTTTTCTTCTTTTGTTCTTCATCGTCGCACGCGTGGAACGAGCGGATTCTGAGCGATCAAAGAGATTAAGATGCGCTCGCGCTGATGTACGGATAGATTGGAAAGAAGATAGAGCGCCGGAAGTAAGATGGAGCCGGGGAATATCGGGAGAAGGAAGCGGCGAAGAGAGAGAGGAGGGAGAAATCAGTCTTTTCAAAGTTGGTGTCCATTAGAGGACAGATGCAGCGCCCTTTTATTTGTTATGTACAAAGACATGGTTTCGGTGACGCTCGAGTGGCATTATCCTGACCCGCGAGCGTATCCTGCGTCGCGACTCGAGTCGCTTTGAATCTAGTCTGCGAGTTCTTAATAAAACAGTGATATTGGAGCTCGCAGCGCCAGCATCGGTTTTGATGAATTTTTCACGGAGGGAAAGTATTGCTCGAATCAACATGATAACGAACGAAAAGGACAAAGGACTTCCGGCTGCGGAAGGCAGGGACGTTGCTTCCTCGAGTGGAATTTGGCTCACAATGGTCGGAAATGTTGCTTCCTTCAGCGCGTTTCGTCGCGTGAACATTCGTCGCGCGATGGAAACCTGGGAATGACTCGATCAACTTTGTACAGAGTGTTTAAAAAAAGGATCCGACTCTTTAAGGGCAGAAATAATAGTTTTAACAAACACGGGTGGAAAAATTAATATTTTCGGGGTCATGAAAAATTGTTTATTTTAATCAAAGCAAGTAAAATTTTACTGTGAAATTTTTGCGATAGCTCTCTGCAACTTTTCACTGTTGACGAGGATATACGACTAAAAATCGCTCGGCGAAGTATTTGTATAAATAGGAATGTTTGTTTAGATTCCCAGCGAGAGCAGACTTTTTTTAGGGATTGTTTCAAAGCGCGGTGCTCTCTTCGTCGATAAATGACACAGACAAATTGAGAGAAAAGAAAGCCAGAAGCGAGTCAGTTACTTGCTTCGATTAAAATAAACAATTGCTCACAACTCGAACGATATGAATTTTTCGACCCATTTTCCTCCATTTTGTGAGTCCTGAATCTTTAAAGTCTTGAACCTTTTTTTTAAACACCCTATACATGCAATATTGTTTTTTTTCTTTCCTTTTTCTTTCCTTTCTCCTCTTTCTCTCTTTCTTTCTTTCTTTCTTTTTCTTTAGTTGTCTTCTTCTTTTTTATTACTTTCTTTCACTTTTTATTGTGTAAGAATTTTCTTATTCGTTTACTACTGTATCAATCTTGTACACCAAAGGGGTCAGATCCGACATTATAAATAAATAAATAAATAAATAAAAAATATACAAAATCCCCTTCGACAAGCTTTGCGGGCGAGCTCGCGTCGCGCAGCGCCTGCGGCGGCGAAAAAAATGCGAAGAGAGGAGAGGGGAGCGAGATGAACGGGGAGAGACTCTCTTGTTTCGCGAATAATCGCCGTGGCGCGATTCGCAAATCTCAGAAATGCCGGGCGATTTCTCCGAGGGATGCACGAAACATTAGTCATACGGAAGTAATCCGCGAAGAATCAAGATATCCCTCTTAAGAGACGGAGCCCGGGCGCTCTGAAAGGGTTGAAAGGGGAGAAAAAGCGAGGCGAGGCGAAGCGCCATTGAGGGTAGTCGACGACACTCGAGCACGGCTCTCGCGGGCCCGCGCTGGCTCGGCCGTTATCGGCGTCGCGATAGCTCGTTCGGGATTTAAGCCCGCGAACTATCGCGATTCTCAAAGTCGGACTACGTACGCTCGACAGAGAAAGAGAGAGAGAGAGAAAGAGAATGACAGAGTGAGGGGTAGGGAAGGGGAGGAAGAGAGTGAGAGAGAGAGAGAGAGAGAGAGAGAGAGAGAGAGAGAGAGAGAGAGAGAGAGAGAGGCGGAAGACACCTAATAGATCGCGGCGCACGATCGTGACGAAGATCGCGCAGGAGGTCAGCGCGCTCGAGCTTCCGCGCTCTCGTGAGTGCGCTCGTGGGTGCTTACGAGCACTCGTGAGGTGCTCGAGCTTGCAGCGACGATCAGTCAACGTCTCGTCGTAAAGTTTTCCAGCGGCTCCGCGCGATAAGAATTTCCGATTTCGCTACCGACGAATATCGGCGGAGGCCGCTGCCCCCCGCCGCTACCCTCACTGCAACCCCCGAGGCTGCGGAGGCCGCGGAGGCCGCGGAGGGCAGAAGCCGCGGCGTTGTACGCGATATCACGTCGCGATCTCTCGCGCTCGCGTCGCGTTACACTCTCCGCCAAATGAAGAAGTATTGTCTGGATCTTTTCGGCTCATGAATATCACATTCGCCAAAGGCGACGCGAGGCCTTTGTACTCTCCACCAACAAGCAACTTCCAGTCCATTTCCTAAACTGAATTATTTAAGTCCACCACGTCTCTCCTTCGTCTCTCGTCTCTGTTCCATCCAGCCGGAGGAAAGAGGAAGAGAGAGAGAGAGAGAGAGAGAGAGAGAGAGAGAGAGAGAAAGAGAGAGAGCCGGACTGGTCGTCGTAGCGCCGCCGCCGCCGCCGCCGCCGCGTATCGTTGCCTCGCGTTGCCGCATTGCGAATTTTTGCAAATCTCTCGAGAGCGAGCCGCGACGCAATCTCCCGGGACGGTCGCGATTAAATCGGGACAAGAACGCGACGCGAGAGCTGCGCTGTGCTGCGCTCTCTCGGAGATCCGACATCGCGAGGACGATATTCCATTTGCGCCAAAGGGCACCGGCCATATCGCGGCCGGCCTCACACAGCGAAGGAAATTCGATTACCATCGGCATTGCGAAGGACGCCGACGACGCAGCGGGAGCTCTCTTCTGACGCGGCGCGGCGCGTGCGAATTGCCATACGTATCGCGTATCGTTGTAAACAAATTCGCTCGGCCGTGCGCGCGCGCGATTGATACAAAACACGAGTCGTACACGGTGTAATCCAATTATTCGCGCAATTGCGATTAAACATGAGCGGCAGTCGCGATAAGCGCCGCTTGCGCGCGCGCGTAATGCGGCATGATGATATTCGCTTCTCCGACGGAGCGGAGTAGAGTGCGGGACGAGTGGAGTGTATTTTCTCCGGGAAGGTTGCCCTCTTCCTAGGGGTTAACCCTTAAACACCGGGATGGGAGAAATTTCACTCGATGAAATTTTGTGCTAGATAAATTTAATTACATGAGTCAAAGTCAATATACAGTTTTTGTATTTCTAAGGGAAAGATTTATAATGTTCATAAATACCTTAGACCATTTATGCTTAAATAAAAGAAATTTTCTTTCTTGTAACGATAGAATATTATCTTTCCTTTAAAAAATTGTAAAACTGTTTTGCACATTGCTACAAATTTTTACCAAACATTTATAGCTCATGTACACTCAGAAAAAGATAATAAAAGAATTGTGGATGGAAATTCACCTGATGATATCTTTTGCTAGATGAAAGTAAATTTAATTACATGAATCAAAATTAATATATGGTTTTCATATTTTTAAGGAAAGGATATAATGTTCATATATATTAGACAATATTTTAGACTATTAAATAAAATTTTTTTTACAATGGAATATTAATATATTTTTCCTTTAAAATGTTGTATGACTTAAAACTATTTTATATACTATATTACTACAAATTCTTATCAAATATTTGTAATTCATGTACCCTAAAAAAAATTATAAAAGATTTATTGAAAATTCACCCGATATTTTTTAGATAAAAGTAAATTTAATTACATGAATCAAAATTAATATATATTTTTCGTACAAACGTTGCTATAAATTTTTATCAAATACTTGTAGTTATACTCAAAAAATAATAAAATAAATATAGATAAAAATTCACCTGATGATATTTTTTGCTAAATAAAAGTAAATTTAATTCCATGAATCAAAATCAATGTATATTTTTCATATTTTTAAGAGAAGGATTGATAATATTTATAAATATTTTAGACTATTAAATAAAAATTTTCCTTTACCGTGGAAGATTATTATTTTTCCTTCAAAAAATTGTACGACTTAAAACTATTTTATACATTGCCACAAATTTTTACCAGATATTTATAGTTCACATACTCTTACGAGAAAAAATAATAATAAAAATATTAAGAGTGAAAATCCATTCGTTCTACTAATAGGAGGTAACAAAAACGTCCTAGTGTTCAAGGATTAACGAAAGCGTTTACAATAGCGCAAACAGACGTGTTCATCTGCGGATGTACGGATGAGCGCTAGTGTGCGTGTGTGATGTAGTGTAAAGGCCATCACACACAAACGAACTTAAGCAGTAAGACGTAAGCAATAAGCAAATCGACCAATCACAATCGAAATTTAAGGACGCCATTTCAAAACTTACGAGAATAATTGATTGTGATTGGTCAGTTTCTTTACTGCTTATGTCTTACTGCTTACGTTCATTTGTGTGTGATGGCCTTAATTGTGAACTAAAGACTGTGACTTCGCGCGAAACATCTGCCTGAGATTACCGAAGAAAGAGCGAAATGATCGCGCCGTTATGAAAGGGCTTTCAGAGAGAAAGGACGAATGTGTGTATGAAGTAGATTTGAGAATGGACGTGAGACACTGGGGGGATAGCAGGATAATCGCCACGGAGAAAGCGGAGAGAGAAAAATACCTCGAAGCCGGATTATAATATCACAGCGCTATGGATACAATGTTGCAGTAGTAACGGCCGCATTTGCCGCGGTAAGGAGATCTTGGGAATAAAAGCGTACCGCTAGGAGCGCGCATTAGTTTGAAACGCTACTAGATTCTTTTTAGCGATTCAGAATAACGCAACCGGACTAAATAAACTTGCATGTAAGGTCACGCGCAACGCTAAACCAGTGCCCAATTAATTAATAATTAACGAACGCGTGAGACAAAGTTTCGAGGGACAATAATAATAATGCTCAATAACGCGGAGGACAGAGAGAGAAAGAGAGAGAGAGAGAGAGAGAGAGAGAGAGAGAGAGAGAGAGAGAGAGAGAGAGAGAGGGAGAGAGGGATATGTATACAAGATGTTAAAAAGACTTAAAAAGTAGACAAACAGATCGAAAAACAAAATCCTTTCAGTCCTCTCCTCCCGTTTCTCCACGCACGTTTCAAGTATTTGCGTTCTCATCCTGCTTCAGCATCCTTATGATCGCGCAGTTTGGAGTGAATCCTGTCAAAATTGCAGAATTGCAATTCGAGTGCTCTTTCCTTATAATCTAGTGTAATAAAAATTCTTGAAAATTTCCTTCGGCAAGATCATACAGACGTTGAACGCATGTCTACCATTTCCTCATTAGAATAAGCCGACGTAATTGATAATGACAATAATATGTCGGCTTATTCTAATCAAGAAACTGCAGACATGCATCTGATGTGGAAGGTCTTGCCGAGGGAAATCTTCTGGGATTTTTATAACACTAGATTGTAATAAAAGAGCACTTCGAATTGTAATTCTGCAATTGGAAGATTTCAAATAGAAGCGTAGAAGCGGAAGATGGACACTAGTCGCAAACAAAGCGATAACAAAAGAAATAATATAATAACGGAAGCGCACAAACAAAACCGCGTCACCAAAATCGAAAACCGTTTCCAACTGCGAAAGAGTTGACTCTTCGAGGTTTGTCTTACCGAGCACTTTTCGCTCGATTCGCAGCGACTACGATCCACCCTGGAGTACCCTTTTCTTTAAACGCCCTGTAGGGATAGACGGGGAAAGAGAGGAGAGAAGGGGAAGAACGAATCGGCGAAGGCAGTGTCGCTTCCCCTGGGTTTGTCAATCGCATTATACAAATTGCATAACACGGAGAAAGAAGAGACGAGCGAGACAATACAAACCAAACTCGACCTAAGAGGCAGAAGTTCCGCTTTCTTCGGGCAAATCGCTCCCGGCTCGTTCGCCATCGCGTCAATCCGACCGCTTTTCTTTTTTCCTCTGCAAATAATCGCGCGAGGCGAACAATAGTCTCGCCGCCCGCCCGTCCGCACGCACGCACGCGTATAAACCCGCTCGAGATTCGTTTCGCTGCGCGCGTTGCACGTTCGCGCAACTTTCAAGTCGACTGAAATTAGATCTTAGGGAGACTTATAAGCCGAAAGTTCTCGCAAATGGGGGCGGAAGTGGAGCCGAGCGAGCCAGGGCTCGCTGTCTCCCGAGATGACTGAATATTCAGAAATTCCAACAAAGGGCGGTCTTACCTTGGCGACTCCGTAACCTTTGGCACGTAACCTGAAGAGGCAAGGCACCACGACAGCCGGCGAGACGGCAGCTATGATGCTGCCGAGCAGGAAACCCCAGATCCAAGGCAGACCTAGCAGGTGGGTCGTCAACGCAGCGACCACCGTGGCCTCCACCACCCAGGGTATCAGGCCGAGCTTCGGCACGGTAAGCCTCAGTCTCTTCAGGGCGTTCGGATCGAGATCCAAGCCCGCTCTGGTCAGTATGATGACCAAGGCGATTTTCCTGCGAAGCGTAAAACATGAACGGTTGGAAGAAATTTAGAGGAAGCTTGGGCCTATAGTGGGCCAGTTTTCAATTTCTTTTTTCATAATTGACAAATACTTCATAAAAAGAGCGGAATAAAGATTGATTAGAAGTTATTCTTAGTCTCTTTGTGACGTTTATTTTGAAACTTTTTGCAGGACATTTTCTGCAGATACGTCTTTTTTAAAACCTCTGCAAGTGATACAATTTTGGCAACTAGTTGTTTATATCGCGTCACAATGTTTCCTACATCGTACCGTTTTTTGTCATATTCATGTGATTAGTTGAAAAACTATGAGGAGATAAAAATAAAATACAAGCAATTTAAATAAATACGTGCTCAATCGAAATTACAATTTGTATCAAAAACTTAAAGAGATATTTTTTATTTAAAAAAATAAACATTAGAATTGCAAAAATAAAATATTTTTGTTTTTAAAAACTCAACTGAGAAATTAATTAAAATCACAGCTTGTGTGAAAAATTGAAAAAAGTATTTTTTAATTATAAAAGTAAACACATTATTTATTAAAATAATTATTAAAATTATGTCCACTTTTATATGAAGTTTATCTTGTATGAAAGTTTACTTTTTATTTTTATAAAATCATTTTTTGACCACATAATTAAAAATTGCAGAATTTATCTATTACATACTTGAAATTCAAGTTGCAGAAATAGAATATTTCCGTTTTTAAAAATTTTGTTAAGAAATAAGCAAGCATTAAACAGAAATTTTTTGTTTTTCAATTAAAATAAAAAATAAATATAGATAACACAAAAGAAAAAAGAAAAACTGCTTTCTATCGACTTTAAGAACAATAGTTACAGACGTAGTTTTCCTTGGAAATTTCTACATTGTAGCGATTTAGGCAATCAGTAGATGGTACAATTTAAGAGACTAGGCGTATTTTTCAAATTATGGCAGTAACGTATAAAATCATGTCCAAATTATATCATGCAAGTATGTTAATTTTAATGTAGCATAAAAACGATAAACAGCTAAATTAATGCACTTTTTGAAATTTTCGAAACGCCTTGCGTAAAAGTGGGTAAGACTTATTTCTAAAATTAAAAAAAGCCTTTACTCGTTTTTTTAACAAGACGCTTTCGTGCATAAACACTCACTTCCCTCTATTAACTTTATGGCGATAGACGAACCTCGCATAAAATATAGATGGCGTTTCGGTTTCTATGAAATATAAAGATGATAGAATTTAGGAGCCGGTACAATATCGGTAATATTTCCTATACGAAATGTCACACGCAAATCGACGCGCCATGGACGAGCGCTTAAAACCGAAGAACGATGATAAACCTTATCTGCGATATGCTCTTTGCTTTCCATCTCTCTTTCTCTTTTTTTATTTATGTCTCAAAAAAAAAAGGATGAAGAATAAGAAACAAGAGAAGCAGAGAATACATTGTGAATGAGGCTTAATACACACATAACACACAGGACGGCAGAAAGAGAGAGTAAGATGCATACAGGGTGTTCAAAAAGAAACGGTTCCAAATTCACCCAGAGTAAATAGATCACAGATTGCGCTGGATAAAAATATATATGTAACTCAAAAGATCAGTCTTTCTGGTCCTTCTTACACTCTCCTTAACCACGAGGACACGTCTCCTTCTCGACGCACGTCGCGCTCCCGGGGGTGAGGGGAGCACTCGGTGCCAAGGGGGAGGAATTAAAGTAAGATTTTTGCAAGTCGCGCGTAGAGGCGGAAGGTCGCCAGACGGGTTGAATCCCTTTGTGCGATTTATATGTCCTGGGGATCGCGGCAATCTGGGACACGCGCCGACGACGACGACGATGGTGACGGCGACGACGAAAGTTCGCAGCGTCGCGCGACCCGCGATGAAAATTCAGGTACGGCGATCGTTAAAGCCGGTTGTCTCGAACTTTGGAAAACCCGTTTAGGAAAGGCACACCTTTAGGGAAACTTATCCTATTACGAGTTTCCCGACGAAAAGGTTCGCGAAGTCGCAGCGTGGGCCGGGGCGAGCGTGTATTTCCCGCGCCGCGTCGCGTCCGCTTTCCGATCGCAGGGGAACATGTCGAATTTACACGGACGCAATGTGGCGCCGCGCCGGCGAGGGGGGCGCCACACAATGGGAAGATGGGAGGAGCGGTCTCAAGTAAAGTTTTCTATTAAATGTTATTAATTATCCCAAAAGCGCGTCACACTTTCCGCGCTGCGAAAAGCGCGCCGGACCCGCTCTCGTTTACTCCACTGCGCGGACCCCGCTTTAATTATTCGCGGTGAAGAAGGAAATCGCGCGTTGCTGAAATTAACGTCGTCATTATATCGTATCGTTACGCGATACGTTATAATGAAATAGCGCGGGCGCTCCCTCCCCCCGCCGCCTCTCTCTCCGCGCATTTCAATTTTGAGTAAATAATTTTCCTCCCTGATACGCGCCTACGCACGTCCACGCGCGCGAGGGAGAGACAGAGAGAGAGAGAGAGAGGAATATAACGGCGCGGAGTAATAGCTTGAAATTAAAATACGCCGGGGAAAGGCATTCCTCCGCTACATTAAATCCATTATTTCGCCGCGTTAATGGAGGGCTTCATCTCGCGCAGCGCCATCGAGAGGCCATCACACGAAGACTTGTTTGCGTCCCGCGGGCCGCTGCGTGTCTGAAGGCGCGTAATAAAAATAAAAATACAATATAGGTAAACATCGATGTAAATCACCCCGGCAAGGATCGATAATTGGCAATACCGCGTACGCTTGCACAGAGTTTCGCGAGCGCTCGTCTCGATGTTTGCTTCATTGTCGCGTCATAATACGGCCGCAGTTGAACGCACGAGAGAGCGAGTGAGCGGCCTCTCTCTGTGTGCGAGTTTGCGATTAAATAAACGAAAATGAATATCCAATTATTAGATGTGATTTATTCGCGCGCGACGTTTCGTTTTCGTCGTGGAGCGCGATCGCCGGTCGAATGTCGAGTGATCGTTTCGGCGTCTCGGAAATTTCCCTACGGCTCCGCCGACTGTTTTCGCGCGTTCGTTGGCACGAGATCGGCTTCTTAAATCTCACGGCACCCGCGCGGGTTCGCTCCGGGAGGATTAATTTCGTCGCGGCGCGCATACGTCATCCGCGAAGCGCGTCGCGCGCCGAGGAGACGTAATCGAATCGCCGAGATCGAGATCTGCGATCGCTGCTCCGCTTTTCCTCCCGCGGATCAAAGCCGACGACAAAGCGATCTCGCTTGGCAAGGCGGCTCGCGATACTCACGTGCCGTATAATTTACGACCGTTGCTCGCGAGAGCGTCAGCGAGCGAGAGCGCGTTGAAAGAATCGGCGCGCCGCACAGTGGGGCCAGATGACATTCTTTGGTTCAAAATTCTCTAGAGACCTGAATTTCCAACCGATCATCAACACCAATGGATGAGGTTGATCCTGAATAAATTCCGAAGAGATCTGTCTTGCCAAAATTAAAAAAAAATTTTTTTCTCGAATTACTAGCCTCAAAAGAGGAAAAATTATCGTTAAATGCGAGAAACTCGTGAAATATTCATTATTCGACACTTATTTCTATCTAATAGCGTATTCAACGGATTGAAATTATGAAGCCAATCAACAGACACCTCGAGGATTTATCGATCTTGAACCAGAAGCCCATTAACCCAAAACTCATATGCTCATAATACAAGAACATCAGATATAGACCCGTTAAGCACAAAATCGAGGGATTTTAATCCTTAATTCTTTCTTAACGTGGGCTGAAATGATGAGCTTTGAAATTCTGAGTTTTCTAAAAGGTGATTATAAGTTCTGGGGTCTCGCATTTAGTATCCATAGGCTCGAACCCATTGAGGTCGAACCCAAGACACTGTACTTTAAACGATAAACTTTTAAGACAAACCCTAAACTCATGAACTCTGAACCGATAATTTTTTCAAAATTTCGACTAGACAGATCTCTTTAGAATTTATTCAGGATCAACCTCATCCATTGGTGTCGATGATCGATTGGAAATTCAGGTTTCTAGAGAATTTTGAACTGAAAAATGTCATCTGGCCCCACTGTGCGCCACTTCGATTCTCGCGCGGAGCGGCACGGCGTGGCCCTCGCTGGAATTTCACATCGTTTCCTCGCGCTCGGAAGATGAAACAATATCCTTTAGCCGTTAACGAGTATACGGGGTGCCCGAAGAAAAAGAAAGAGTTCCAGAAGTTCAGGGTAGATGGTATTTATACCGAGTGAGTTGAAAGCACAGGGATGTTTTAAACTTTTTGCTTGAAACAAAAGTTTCGAACGCGTTTTAAACATTCGATAATTTTAAATATGTGTTTCTCTTAAACATGTTCTTTTTAATATGAATTTTGAGCATGAAATTACTGATGAATTATTGATAAATCTGATCTTTTCTCAAAATATCTATTTTTTTATATAAATATCTATTTTTATACATAATTGCACAATTATTAAAAAATTATTATTAGATATACATGTATATATTATATATATTTACTTAACAGTTCACATTTTGTTTATATACAGGGTATCCGGGATCTTTTGGAAATGTAAAGTTATGAAGATTAATTAGATCAAAGAGAAGAAAAGTCAAGTGCCATTTTGTAAATATCGCAATAGTTATTAAGTTATTAATATAGCCGTCATATAATTATAGATTAGGTCATTCTGAATAGGAAAGCCCTTTACCATTTCGCAAATAACTACGCAAATTTTCAAATTATCAATGAAAAGAGCCTCTAGATGCGATCATTTTCAATTATTAATAACTTAATAACAAGTGAGATTTTTGCAAAATGTACTTGACTTTTCTTGTCACTTTGATTAATCTTCATAATTTTTCATTTCCAAAATATCCCGAACACTATATATATATATGAATTAAGTATAATTACTATATAACTATATGTATGAATTAACTATATAAATATATATATATATGTACATATATTTCATAGTTTACTTAAATGAAATAATTTGAAAACTTTT